AAAAAAAAAAAAAGGAATTTAATAATAATAAACCGTGTGCCCCCCCCCTCCCCCGGCAGCGCCCGCCGTGCCCCCTCCACCTGCACAGGCCTAAAAACCCCTCCAAACTTTTACAAAGGTTTTAAAACGTATTTATAGATATTTATAGATATTTATATATATATACTTTGCTTTCTTTTCTCTTTTAAATGACTCTGCTTCCTCGGCGTGCGGGGCTGGCCGGGCCCCCCCGCAGACGGCCGGGGCGGGGGGGTGGCTCGGTGGTCGCGATCCCRTGGGTGCTGGTGCTGGTGGGGCCGGGGCGTCCCCGGGGCCGCGGCCGAGGGTCCCCGCGCCCCTGAAATGTGACTCAACCAAGGCGCCGGGCCCGGGGCTGGGGGGTGCCCGCTGCGGCGGGGGCTGCCGAGGAGTCCGCCCCGGGGGGCTGCAGCCGGGCCGGGCGCAGGCGGGGACCCCCTCCCCGTGCCGGGCTCTGTCCGGCTCTGTCCTGGTGCGCGCCGGGCGCGGGTCACGGCGAGTGMGTGGCCGGGCTGCTGCGGTTGGAGCTGGGCGAAAGGCTGGGGCTGCAGCTGCCCGGGGGGGGCCCCAGGCTGCCCCCGCGGGGGCCACCCGCCTGCCCCCCCAGTGTGTCCATGCCCTCCGAGTTCTCCAGCATCTCCTGGATGAGGGGAGGCATCGAGCCCGGGATCTCCATCTTCAGCGTGATCACCCGCTCGGCGCCTGCGGGAGGGTTGGGGTCAGCAGGGGGCTACCACAAATTGGCACTGCCAAAATGGCACTCTCAAAACGGCACCCCAAAACGGTACCCATAAAATCCCAAACTGGCACCCAGAAAAACCCAAAATACCACCCAGAAAAATCCAAACTGACACCCCAAAAGGTACCCAGAAAAACCCAAAATGGCACCCAGAAAAACCCAAACTGGCACCCCCAAAAGGTACCCAGAAAAACCCAAACTGGCACCCAGAAAAACCCAAAATACCACCCAGAAAAACCCAAACTGGCACCCCAAATGGTACCCAGAAAAACCCAAAATGGCACCCCAAAACGGCACTCAGAAAAACCCAAACTGCCACCCCGTAAAACCCAAACTGCCACCCCAAATGGTACCCAGAAGAACGCAAACTGGCACCCCCAAATGGTACCCACAAATACCCAGACTGACACCCTCAAATAGTACCCAGAAAAACCCAAACTGGCACCCTCAAATGGTACCCACAAAATCTCAAACTGGCACCCTCAAATGACAACAAGAAAAACCCAAAATGGCACCCTCAAATGGTACCCAGAAAAACCCAAAGCAGCATCCTGAAACCGGCTGCCCCAAACGGTACCCAGAAAAACCCAAAATGGCACACTAAAACTGGCACCCCAAAAAATGCCACTCCCAAAACGGCACCCTGAAACTGGCACCGCAAAACCAACACCCACAAACTGACACGCCCGGCTTTGTTTCTCCCTGGGCACTGAGGACAAGGGGCATGGTCACAGCTCCAGCATCTCTGGAGAGGCAGTGCTGGCTGAGTCCTCCTCTTCTTCATCCCCGCTGGAGGATGCTGAGTGACCCAAACCCTCTCCTGCCCTCTGGACACTCCATCAGGACCCAAACCCACAGGAGCCTCACCCTTGGCGCTGATGCTGCGCAGGTCCGTGATCTTCATGAGCATCTTGGGGAACATGTGGGGCTTGTTGGGCCTCCTCTTCCTCACGTAGATCTTCAGCGCCTCCAGCAGCGGCTCCTGCAGCTTGTCCACCTTGTCAGGCTGCTCCAGGTCCTGGCGGTCTGGGGAGGGGGCACACAGTGGTTGAGGGGTGAGAACAGCACATCTCCTGGTGGCTTCCCAGTTCCCACTGCTTGGGATTCATTTGGGGTGTCCTTGCCCAGCCATTGGGGTGCCCATCCCCGTGCCCACCTCCGCAGATGAGGCAGATGGCACTGAGCAGCCCCGTCTCGGCGTCGTCCATCTCCAGCGGCAGCAGCTGGTTGGCGAAGGCGAAGACCAGGTCGGTGAGGGGCCCGAACCCCGCGTTGTGCATCTGCGTGCGGTTCAGCGTCAGCCCGTCCGAGAAGGTCATGGTGTCCTGCTCCGGCGTGTAGCGCGTGCAGATCCGCAGGATCTGTGGGGGAAAGAGGACGGGGGGCTCAGCCCGCTGTCCCCTCCCCGTCCCTGTCACCCCATCCCTGTCCCCACGCTCACCAGGATGTCGAGGCAGGCGGCTTTGAGGAGGGTGATCTGGTCGGCGATGGTGAGCGTGGTGAAGCCGGGGAGCTGCTTGGCGAACTCCACCGTCTTGATGATGCACTTGGTGGACAACTCGCTGAACTTGTCCCACAGGTCRATGTCCAGGGACACGCGCTGCTCCGAGCTGTTGTTCTGTGGGGTGAGGTGGGGGGTGAGTGCCTGGGGGGTGTCACCCTCCCCAGCCCCCCAGGACCCCCAGATCTCCGTGACACTCACCGTAGTGTATTTGCCGAGCTGGCAGAGCGCGGGGAAGGTCTCCTGGTGGGCTTTGCGCACCTTCTCGATGAGCTCCTCCACCTCAGGTGTGATGATGTAGCTCTCCGAGCACTCCGGCTTGGGCACGTCCTTCTTCTTCTTGTTCCGGTCGTTGCGGACGGCTGCAGGAACGGCAGGGTCAGTGTCACCTGTCCCCAGTGCCACCCACCCCTGCGCTCTGTCACCCAGGGCAGGACAGGCACCTGCCACCAGCAATGGGCTCAGCTGTGGTGACAAGTTCCATCACCCCCACAGATTCCTTTAAACAYCCCCCCAAGTCAATAGGAGAAACCAGGGGTGCAATTAGACCCTGAAGCCCTGGGAAGGGCCAGGGCGCACCCCTCAACAAAGCCAACACATCAGAGAGGGACCCCGGGGACAGAGAATGGCAGCTGAGCCACTGCACTGGGTGAGGGGCACAGGAGGGACCCTGGGGGTGACAGCTGGGAAGGGGGGAGCAGCAGGGGGGAGCCCCGGCCCCACAGGGATCACCCACTGTGGGCTGGGGGGACCAGGACCACTCTAAGGTGCAGAACCCTCCTGGCAGTTCCGAGCCCCCCAGGCTCTGCCAGCTCCTCCCAGGGGTCCCARGCCCCCAGGGGCCGGCAGATGGGGCAGGACTCGGGGTGGCAGCTGCGCCTGAGCAGCCCTCACCCCCGGGCACCCACCGCGGGGGCACAGCCGAGCACCATGACAACTGCCAGCGGAGCCGGGAGGCCTCGTCAGCGTCATTTATCTCTGACATTATCAATCACGCGTTGCCCGGGCAACTGCCGGGCTGTGACACAATCCCAGGGGGTCCCCATCCCCCCCGGGCCTCGCTGGGCACACGGTGGGGGCTGCTGGGATGGCCCATCACACCCAGAACCCCCTGACAGGGACATCAGGCAGCAGGGTGTTCCCATCACATCCCTGTCCCCACAGCCATCTGACCCCATCCCTGTCCCCATCCCAACCCCACTCACACTCCTTGGACATTCCAACTTCGAAGCACTTCTGGAGCCGGCAGTACTGGCACCGGTTGCGCGTCACCTTGTTGATGATGCAGTTTTTGTCCCGGTGGCACGTGTACACCATGTTCTTCTGGATGCTGCGGCGGAAGAAGCCCTGGGGACCCCGCACAGCCCGGTCAGAGCCCGGCACGGGGACCCTGGGCACCCCGAGGACCCCRGGGAGYTGTRGGGGCGGTGGCASCRCTCACCTTGCAGCCCTCGCAGGCGCTGACCCCATAGTGGTACCCCGAGGATTTGTCCTGGCACACGAAGCAGGGCTTGTAGATGCGGGGCAGGGGTGGGGGCGACGGGGGGCTGGGCACGATCTCCTCTGAGCTGGTGCTCTGCGTCTCGACGGCTGTGGGGAAGGGGTGGCACTCAGGGAACAAAGCCCCCCGGGCAGGGACCCCTCCCCATCCCTCTCCCCAGCTCCAGGGGTCCCGGCAGCCCCAGCCCCGCGCTGCCCACCCCGGCCCTGGCGCCAGGTCGAGCGGGGCCAGCGGGGAGAGGACGCGAGCTGGGAAGATGCAACGTGACATTTCCAGGTCACGGAGACGATGTGGAATTCAGGCAGACAAAAA